AAGCTGATTTTATAATTGAAAATTGGATCAGACAAGTTTTGTTTTTTTATCTCCCTGAAAAACTTTTAATAGTTATTAACTTGACATTGTTATTGTTAATTATATTATGTATAATTCATAATTAATTGTATATTAACTTCAAATTAATAAAGATTAATAGAGAAATCATCAAAATAAGTTGGGGAATCTCTAGTTCTTACAGTTAGAGATGATTTTCTTCAGCAGAGACTGGGAGAAAGGAAGTGTGGACTGCTAGGGCAGCCTGCATTTGACAGAACCCTGTTTTGTAAACTAAAGGTTTATAAACTGGGATATACCTACCCCTGGGATACCCCAAAACCCAGGTAAGGATTGTTTTAAGGTAATCAGTTTTCTCTGTACTCTCCTAAAACTGGTCTGCTTAAAATGCACTTCCAAGTCATGTTGATCTACACCACCCTCCTTTCCATTTCGCAAGCATCTTTCTATTTTCACAAAAGAAAGGCACATGTCTTACCATCTGGTGTCTTATTAGGGAATACTGAACTTAGAAAAGCACCTGTGAAACAAGGGGATAATGTGAAGGATTGTGTGGATGTTGACACAATAAAGTGGTTTTCATGACTGGGCAACAGATATGCAAGTTGCTTCCCATCCTCTGCTTCCAGCATAGTTGAAGGAGGATCTAACTGAGTTGTCGTTTGAAAGATCATTGAAAACATTTTTTGGTGATAGATCACTGTGTGATTACTGGCATATAACTGTGGGAAAATCCGAAGAATTGAGTGACATTGTTTAACAAATTCCTTTCCATTCCCATCTACTTACTTGAGCAGGTTTGTTAAGTAAAGGAGTAAGAGAAGACATCCCATCTATTAAAAAAAAAAAGCAGACTCTAACAAAATGATCAAAGTTTTGATCAAGTCAAGGTAAATGAGAATATTCAATTCTTACTTAACCAGAAACAATTTACTTGTTGAAGTAAAATTGTTCATATTTAATAGTTTGGTGAATAGAAACTACTCAATTCGAATTCAAATATTTAATGAATCCACATCTAAAATTCTGTGTTACAAATACTTTTAGTCGTAGGAGTGAGTGGTGAGCAACAAACTCAAATGTTACTATGCAGACATACAAAGTACTACACTGTTTGCTAAGAAGGCAGACACTGTAAGTCTAATTAATATCCATCACCACAAATAGTTACAAACTGTGTGTGCGTGTGAGAGACAGAGAGAAATGAGAATTTTTAAGATCTATTCCCTTAGCCACCTTTAAATTTAAAATACAGTATATTATTAACTATTGTCACCATGATATACATTATACCATCATGATTTATTTATTCTATAACTAGAAGTTTGTACCTTCTGACCTCCTCCATCCATTCTTCAAACTTCCATCCCCACCCCTAGCCACTACCAATTTGTTCTCTGTATCTGTGGGTTCATTTTGTTATTGTTGTTTTAGAGTCCACAAATAAGTGAGATCACTTGGTATGTGTAGTGTTTATTTTGCAGCATATACAAATATCAAGTCATTATGTTGTACACTTGCAACTAATACAATGTTATATGTTATTATATTTCGGTTTTTAAAAAATAGAATAAAAAATACCATGTTGGATTAAAAAAAGAAGACGGCAGAGACAAAGTGCAATGAACATTCCAACTATAAATGATGTGGCGGGTTTATCATTTTTTGTCACTTTGGGATACACCTATCCACTATCCAGATATTGACAATTTTATTTCCAGCATTTTGTACTCTGCCTTTGATGAAAAAAGGACTGAGTTATCAGGGAGTGCTAAGGATGTGATCATTCTTTCTATACCACATTTCAGTATGCTCTGTCACTACAGAAACACTTCTTTACATTAAAAAGCATAAATTAATAAGTCTAAACCAAAAAGAAATTTTTCTAAACTTTGGAACAATCTTTCCAAACATACAACATCTCCTGCCTTTCTTCTCGTCATAAACTGTAATGCTCCCATTCTTCAGTTCCTCAAAGCAAATTTACAGATGAGTGTGACTATCTCTACTTAGAGCCAAGCGCATCTTTCACACAGGGAGCCAACTGCACATGGGTTGAGTGATGAGCCTTTGAAGGACTCCAAAGAGCCATATCATTTAATCCTCATGCATGACTGAGGGGTATAAAATCCCCATTTCACCTCGAGGACTAGTGCACAACCCCCAAACACCCACACCAACAAACAGCGACTCAGGATGAGATTTAGCAAACCAGAGGGTCTATCAACTGAAATTTTCCACTCTAAAACAATTTCATTAGAGATGGCAGTGCCAGACACAGTATTTTATAGCTGACTTCCCCCAAATTACAATGCAGCTCAGAATCTAAGTCTCTATTATAATCTTTGGCAGAAGTTTTTAAGACCATTTTTATTTACTCCAAACTCTATTTGAACAAAGTCAGCACAGGCCCTTTGCAATCTTTACGTCAAGTGTTTCATGCTGTATGTAATTAAGGAAGCCGTGGAATTCAAAGGAAGCACCTAGAGAAAGAATCAGGGCATCCCACACTGATTGGTGGAACTTTAAGGATTTAAAATTTCTGTTTTGTTGTACAATTGCACTTTATTACCACTTTGTTCTTAAAATGTAATAAATACGAACTGCTTCAGTAGTGCTGAGAAAGCTTCCTCCGCTTTAATGCACCCTTTTATTTGCTACTGAAACTTTTATTATCTCCAAATGGTAGCAAAGACAAGAAAAATAATGATTACTTATTTTGAGGGAAAATGAGCAATTTGAAAATTTTTTTTCTTGGGTGAATTTTGAGGCATTTAGAGTTGTTATAATTATGTTTATTGTTTTCACTTATTTTTGATGAACTAAAAACAAAAAAAATACATATACACACTATCACAAAATTATTTCCTACTTATATATCAAAATCCTAGATAGTGATGTACAGGCATCACCTGATCTGGATAAAAATTTCTACTTGTTTAAGGCCCCCACACATCTCAGATGTAGCCCACGAGAGGCAGTGTAGAGTAAGGGTGAACCACGGACGCTCTGCAGCCAGACGCTTCTCGGCTCTTTATTCCAGCCCTGATTCCTCCTATCCATGAAACCTCTGGAAACTTCTCCATCCTCAGTTTCCTCATCTGTGAAAGTAAGGGTGACTAGAATCTGCCTCGTGGAGTGGGTGGGAAGAGTAATAAGGTAGGCATTCCTTGTAAAACAACAGACTTGAGCCTGCCACAGGTGAGCACTTGATAAATGTTTAGCTCTAATAGGGTTTTCTTTTGTGAATCCACCCAGCTCTAGATTGCATGCCCGGTAGGAGGATACCGTTTGTTGAGCATTCCTGTACACAACACACTGTCCTAGGCAGAGGGGGCACAAAAATGAATGAGATACAGTGCCTACAATTTTCGTGCAAGATTATCATTGCATCTTCATGTCTTTCTTGCAGAGTACCATGAAGCACACTCTTTCATTAGATGGTACATTTTCCTTTTTTTCCATGTCCTTGGAACCAATGGAGCTTCAAAAGAATTTCGCTTCAGTTTCTGAAATCTTAATCATGCACAATTTAATAAGCAGCCACAGGTTTTTCCACATTTGAAAATAGATGATTAAATGGTCTAATCAGATTCTAACTTAGCCAAAAACTTGAAAAACTTAGGAAGACAACCATGACTGACACATTCATTTTCCTGAATGTAGACATACTGCAAACAGCAGCTGCAGAAACACAGTGCCATTTACATCCCACTGACCCACAGCAACTAAAACTGCACAGAAGATCAGCATCAAAGCATTAAAAGTACCTAAAATAAATTCAATTTGAGATAAAATGAGAAGCTGGTCTAGGCACAGCTATCTCATTTTCCAAAAAGTTCTCAAACTGACTTCCAATATGGCACCCTTACATGCCTTTAGTTTTCTCAAACATTTCATTTATGTCTTGCACTCAGAAAATTCATTAAAAGTAAAATCTTTAAGCTTGACTATAAATCCAAAGCCCAACAACTAATGGGGTATTTCAGACATCACAAAACTCCGAATGATCTTAAGTATGTTGTCCTCTGCTAATTTGCTGCTCTTGAAAATGTGCAATAAATTCAATTAAAAAGGAAAGCATCTTCAAATCAGTTGCAAGATCAACCAGGATATTATCTGCTTACTCGATGTATCATAATAAAAACCATATAGTATGCATTACATTGTTTAATTCTGAAGGAAATTGGATATTCTCTCTTCCAATAAAAGGACCCAGACCGTTTAGGGGTTGTTTTTTGCTGTTGTTTTGTTTTTGTTTTTAAGCAATCATAATGACTATGTTAACTTTCTAAAATAGATTGAATAATTGCCAAAATATGTCTTCTGCGGAGTCACCCTGCCCGAAGGGACGGGAGCTCCTGTGTAAACACGCAGACACACAGCTTCTGCTTTCCCTCCTGCGTCACACCACCTCCCAGGGTCACAATACTTTTAAAATACCCACTATGATCCCATGATCCTTTTGAGATTGAGCAGATAAAAATCCTGAAATAAGGGGCACCCCTCTCCCCCTGAAACCTCCCTCAGTGTTAAATCAACTCACACCTCATTTGGATGCAAGATGCCAGAGCGAGAATTTATCTCTAAGCCCCAATTCTCCAAATGAATGCCTATTTTGGTGACCTCTACTTTTGCATTTTAAACACATGTTCCACAGCAACAGGAGCCTCTTGATCCCAGCTAACATCCCTGCTTAATGCATGCGTTTTTCACAACCATTTTTTTTTTAATCCTTTCAGAGTGAAGATTTCAAAGAGGGCGAACGTCGGTGAAAAGTGAGGAAGGGGGGGGAGGAGATTGGAAACCTGGGAATTCTGCCATCCTTGCTGTAACCCAGAATCCGGATTGTTTTTCTCCTCTCTCCAGCCCCACCTCTCTCCCCGCCTCGCCCCTTCCCTCCGCAGCGGGAGGGGGGCGGAGGGGCTGCTGGCTGAAGCCGCCACCTGCCGCGGCGTGGAAAAGCTCCAGTTGTCACTTACCCAGCGGGGTGAGAATAGCTCATTTTTGCAGGATCCCTTTTGGACCCGCGGCAGGTGCGGAGGGTGGGTGCGTGGGGCCCGTGCACGCTGACGCCGCGACAGTCGCGCTTGCGGGGTGGCTCCGCACTGCGGTCGCCCGTGCGCGGGGCGCCTGAGCTGCGCGCAGCCTCCAGCCCCAACCCGCCCGCGGTATCCACAGCCTCGCGGTTGCTAAGGCTGCGGGGAAGGCGAGCGCTCAGGTTCTGGGGAAGCCCAGGCGCTGCTGGAACGGAGCTCGGGGAAGCTGGAAGTGAAGTTCAGCTTCCAGCCCTTTTTCTGGGCCCAGATAGGGGAGGAGACCCCGGCCCATGCTCTGTTGTTCTGCGGCACGGTTTCCCTAGGCACCTGCGATCCGAAAACACACACACACACTCACCTGCGATCCGAAAACACACACACACACACTCACACTCACACTCACACTCACTCACTCACTCCTGTTTAGGCTGGTATGCTTCCTGCTAAGCCCTGGGGAAGGAAGGGCTGGCTGGTGGCTGAGGGTAAGGTAATTAAGAGCAGGAAGCAGCTACATTGTGATGCCTTGGTTTCCAGTTGTAAAACAGCCCCTAGATTGCAAGTTGGAGGGAAAGAAAGAAGTTTTGGGTTTGGATTTTGTTTCTGCATCAAGAGGTTGCAATTGGTGGATTTCCTCCTTGGAAAACCCCTATCCTTGCTCCCAGCACACAGTCCTGACATTCAGCAGGTGGGAAAGATGTGACTACTCCAGGAAGCATGCTGGAACCTGGACCTGAACTTGTACTTGCGTCCAGCAGGGAGAGTGCCGGGCTCAGTGAAGAAGCCTGGATTGACATGAAAAGGCCTTGGTGTGGAGGGAGTTTAAAGCACTGAATTCAAATGAGCTCTTCCTAGTCCTGTTTTTGCTTTGTCACGTTCTTTGCTGGGTGATTTGCTCTCTGGCCTCAGGTTTCTCACGGATGAGTGAAGGGTTGGGCACATGCATGGTGACTGGGCTCTCTCCGTGGAGCTCAGTGCTAGTTCAGTCACCTTACAGGTGGGAAGGGTGTCCTCTCATGAATGGCATTCTGCTTTCCCACACATCACAAAGGCCCACAAGCATGTCAGAGTCCAGTCTCCTTCACGTAACATTCAAGGCCCTTCATCATCTGTCCCCAGCACCCTTCAACAGCCTCATTGTGACCACTTTCTCCACCTCTGCTACCCTAAACTCTAGCAAAACCAAATTTTGCAGTATCCCTCTCATGGGAATGTGCTTCCATCCTGTCTACCTGACAGACTCCTACTCATCCTTCAATATTTACTTCAAACCCTACTTTCCTTCAAGTTCCCAGGTGTGCTGGTGACTCCCACCACTGGGGGCCAATGCTGCCTGGGCATAACCTCTGTTTTACACTCACTCATGGACCTATGGTGGCCTTTTCTATTTGATCATGAGCTTCTCTACTTCATATTGTATACCTACTTTATTTTTCTGCATTCTTAGAAGCAAAGAGCAGTTCAATAAATGTTTGGAGTATAAATGAAGGAAAAAAAAGAAAAAAAATTCTTCAAAGTGGTAGCATTGTTATTGGGGACTTACTAAATGCTCTGCTCAGTCTTTTATGGAGCACTTACTAACTGCTCATTGTCTCATTTAACCCTCACCTCTACTCTCAGGAGTGGGTTTTCACCTCCATTTCATAAGACAAACTAAAACACAGAGAAGTTAATTATTTTGCCTGAAGCTCCTAAGTGGAAAAACCAGGATTCAAATATAAATCTGTCTGATTCCCAGCCCCTAGGTGGTTTTAACAATTACAAATTCCTTTTCCTGTAACTCTTGTGAATTGCTACAGAAGTCAAATTTTCTATATACTATCAGAGTTTCCTGACCTGAAAGACCAAGAGCCATCCCAGTGGAGACAAAAAAGGGTTCTAGCTCACTAGCTTAGATCCTAAGACTGAGGACTCAAGCCTGCTTTGACTCCCCACTCCTGGGCACATATCTGGAGGAAGCTCTATTTTGAAAAGATACATGCGCCCCAATGTTCATAGCAGCACTATTTACGATAGTTCACATATGGAAGCAACCTAAGTGTCCATCAACAGACGAATGGAAAAAGAAGTTGTGATATATATACACACATACACATACACACACACACACACACACACACAATTTATATATGCAATGGAATACTACTCAACTGTATAAAAGACTAAAATAATGCCATTTGCAGCAGTATGGATGGGCCTGGAGATTGTCATATTAAGTGAAATAAGCCAGAAAGAGAAAGAAAAAATATCACATGATATCACTTACATGTGGAATCTACAAAAATGACACAAATGAACTTATTTACAAAACAGAAGCAGACTCACAGACATAGAGAACAAGCTTGTGGTTACCAGGGGGAATGGGGAGGGGGCAGAGAGGTAAATTGGGAGTTCAGAATTTGCATATACTAACTACTATATATAAAATAGATAGACAACAAGGTCCTAGTGTCTAGCACATGGAGCTATATCCAGTACCTTGTAATAGCTTATAATGAAAAGGAATATGAAAAGGAATATAGATGTATGTATAACTGAGCCACTTCAGAAACTAATACGACATTGTAAACTGACTATATGTCAATTAAAAAAAAAAAAGCCAGCAGAAACATTTTTTGAAAAGGCTACTTTGGGGAGTAGATGGTTAGAGCAGCTAAAGAGAGGCAGAGGTCGTCAAAGAAGGAAGATGTGAAATGTGAACATGGCATCTTCTGCTTAAACAAAGTAGCCTTATAGGTACCTACTGGCTCCTCCCCCTATAAGCTTACCCCCACTGCCTGTGGTTCCCGTTGGAGGGTGTCCTTAATGCTTTGTAACTAGATTTCACCTGGATAAAAATTTGGAGGGAGGGAGAAGGGACTAGAAAGAGACATAATTTTCCCAAATGCTACCAACCCCTAAGGATGGTGTAAATAATATAATCTTATATAAGTACTAGTTGTTATGTACTAATTCATTTGTGCAAATAGAAAATGGTATTCTCACACTGGAATGAGAAAAGAAATTAAACTACACTATTTAGAGACTCGGGGTTCTGTAGAAAAGAATCCCTGGCACTCAGCAGACAGCAAGGTACCGTCAGCAGCGTGTATTAATTCGTAAATGGGGTCTGAGTTCTCCACCCCTGTGAGCCGCACAATTTCACCTCCCTGATGAAAACTGCAAGGAAGCTACTAATTTTCACTTCAGAAAATGCTCACTGTGAAAATGCATTGGGAATTTAGCCAGAAGGAATTTTTATGTTAATTTCTAGTATGGAGATAGGAAAAGAGAAAAAAAGAAAAAGAAAAAAAATGTAAATTAAACTGTTTCAGAGACCAAATAGTCACTGGAGTCATTTTCATTTTCTCACAGGAAAACAAGTCCTCAGATGTCCACAGTAGTATCATAAATTTATAAAAAGATTCTGTTTTGTAGAAAGACTCATGGAGTTGGGGTTTGGGGGCAGGAGATTGACAGAAGCAGGAGAAAAGAAAAGAGAAGGATTACTCCTACGGTGTTCATTGGATCACTGCTTTGGTTGAACAGAAGCTAGACTTAGGGATCACAGAGCTAAACCATCAGCGACCGTCTCCTAGGTCAGGGGAAGGAAGTCTGTGACTCAAGAGTCAAATCCAGGCCACTGCCTATTTTTGTAGTCCACAAGCTAAGAATGATTGCTACATTTGTAAAGGGCTGAAAAAAAATCAAAAGAAGAGCAACTTTATATGATACATGAAAATTACATGAAATTCACAATCAAAATCCATTAAGTTCTGTTGGAACACGGCCACACATTTGTTTATAAATCTCCTGTGGCTGCTTGGTGCTACAAAGGCAGAATTGAGTAGTTACCACAGTGCCCTTACGACTCGTAAAATCTAAAATATTTACTGCCTGGCCCTTTACCGAAGCAGCTTGTCGACCCCCGGCTTAGATTGTCACTGCGATCAGAGAGATCATTTACCCTCTTGGACTTTGAGTACAGATACCACATTGTTCACCTTGTATCACCAGCACCTACCACAGTGCCACTCACAGAGTATGTGCTCAATAAACAAACAAAGGAACGAATAAACAGATGGGAGTGATAAGTTTTCCCACGGGGTTATCTTTCTCCCTCAAATAAAGATCAAGTCATCAAGATTTTCTCCTCAGATGTAACAGACATGCATGATGATCTGATGTGACCCCAGGGCTCTCTTCTTTTATCAGCACCATATAAAACCCCAGTCGAAAGTAGGTAATGTACACATTTCAACAGGACACCATCGTCAGATGGTTAAGTTTGCAAGAGAGCTTCCTAATACCTTACATCCTCCAGCATTAGCGTGGGTCCTTCAATACTGTAGCACTGAGAAGCTGGAGAAGGATTTAACATCAAACCCAGCTTTCCCTGATAAGCTTCCCTAATAGTTAATTCCAGCGAGCCTTTCAGTGAAGCACAGTGTTGGGTAGAGGAAAGGCTGAGAGGGCTCGTGAAATGGATAGAGTGACAATCTCAAGGTGACATTCCTAATTTAGAGTTCTGAGTAACCCAGATAGGCATGATGTCTCCAGATCTATCTACCCCTACTTCTGAGTTGCAGGGAATCTGCAGACTGATCAGTTAGAATGGAGCTGTCAGTGTGTAACCAAGCAGGACCCTGTTGTCATCATCAGTGACCATCTGATGTCTGTAATGGTGTTTTTAACTGCTTCATTGTATAGTGGTTTAAAGGATTTTTCCCATGCTCTTCCTGATCAGCATTGGGCTGGACAGGAGGGGGCTTTGGGTGATTCACCCAACCCCCTCATGGTGCTGTGTACAGAGATCATGCTTGGTGTCCTGCTCTTGCCCACAGGGGCCTCTTCTTTGACCCCTTATGGTTTCCTTGTACCTTGTTGTTCGAGCTGCAGGCCTCAGCCTGCAGCAGGAGGTCCCAAGCCTTAGCCAGCTTAAAAGGCTAAAAGCATTTATCAAGCTGACTAAATAGCTTTTCTCTAGAGCTCTTTTCCATGAAAACCCTTCCTATGCATCCTTTGTTCTAAGTACAAGAATATTAATAAAATCTCAAAGCTGGAGGTGAACTTCACACCCAGCAGAGGGAGGGGTACCAATGCATTTGTGAAAACAAGAACAACTTTGCAACAATTTGTTACCCTGTATGTGATCTGTATGGAAACTAACCTCATCCTGCCCTTGAATTCTTGAACTTTTACTACAAAACCCCCTGCTTTCTTTCCCCAGTAGGCTAACGGTCTTAGAGGCATTAGTGCACTGTGATCTCCTTTGCCTGGCAAAGAAATAAAGCTGCCTG